CACAAAAAACTTATGCAATCCTGTACCATTTCAATGGAGTTTTTAAGGGCTTTGGTCATTTACTCCAAAGATACTGACTGATACTGACTGAGACCCGGCATTTTGTCCTAAAGAAACGGCGGTAATGGTGGTTTTATGGGTGGAGAATTAGGATAGGCAGTGGAATATACTTTAATAACTGTCATATGTATCTTTATTTTATTTTATTTAGAAATGTTTTTAATTTTTATCTGTAGATTTTCCTAATCTGTATTATCGGTAAACGAACTGCCGAAAAATCTGATTATCGAAATGCACATTTCTTGAAATTTCTGGAAAAAAATAATTGGTGGTTAGGAGATCGTCTACTTCAACTTACCTGAGGTCCAACTTACCGTACTGGAGTTCGATTAGTATAGTCCGTGGCACTAAGCGCCGCGCAAACCTTTAATTTACATGCGAAACAACTTACACTCAGCGGCCGCGGAAAAGGAAATCATCTACATATTTCCACTTTACACTTACTTTACAAATTTCCTTCACTGCCTATCTTATTACCCCACCCCTAAAACCCCTATAACCACCGTTTCCGTAGGACAAAATGCTGGGACTAGGGGGTGTATGAAGTGCACTTCTTAAACTAGTGTTGCCGGCGGGTGTTTTCCGTCAAAAGATAGTAATATAAACAAGAGTTTTGTCAAACAGAACTTGGTTAACTTGAAAATCACTTTTTTTCCAATTAACTCAGATGAAGCTAGCTGAAAGCAAGAAGATATTTTTTTGAAAACGCAGACGTTTCATCCAGTCCAAAAATGCAGGTGAGCTATGACGTCTTCTGGCAATCATTTGTCTAGACGTCCCGATATTTTTTAACCTTTACGAATGCCCAATGCTCACTTGGAAGTCGGTCCCCACACAAAAGCTATTTTATGTATGAAGCACGTGGCCAGATACTTTTTGTACTTTTAATATCACTTTAATATCCTTGATTATTATTGCAGTCTTAGTGCACTCAATGGCACCTCTTTGCGAGTGATTAGTAATCCCTTGTAAATATCGGCACTTATCAGGAAGTAGGTGTCACGTACTATTGTACAAGCAGCAAGTCCCATTTAAACGTGAGTGACGCTGTTGCCCTAAGCGGATTGTGGCTTATGATGACGCAAAAGTTGGTCACATCTGAGGCCAATTAATGAAACCAACGCTACAGCAGTTCAATGAGCTCAGATAGACTAATCAATGATAATCAAGGGCCACCAGAGTGCAGCGCCAGAGAGAAGGCACACTCACCTGAGAGAAAACGGCAACAGGGGCGGGTTGGGAGGCCGAGGACGGAGGATGAAGGGAGAACCGGTTGGCGGTAGGCAGCGTCACCGCATCCTCACCGCCGGCGCG